GTCCCTGGCTGCTGGTACCGTCACCCTGCCTCTGGTTTCTTCCGCCGTTCTCTGGTGTCTATCGTCGTTATCTCCTCCCGTTCTCTGGTTTCAGGGTCATAAATGAGTGTTTGGAAAGACCGCCTGAGGTTTCTGTAGTTAGGTGAATATCGAGTTGGTGTAGGGGACTATACTGAATTGAATTGAATTGAATCCTATGTACCAAGAGTGTGTGTTTTGGGTGAGATTATCTTCCCTAAGCTTATATCACCTGAAGATTAAACACCCTAATACCACCTGTGGGGTTAAGGGTGATTAATAAGCTAGGGGGCTTAATCTTCAGGTGATTAAACCCTGTGATTGTAAGTCCCTGATTGACTCGAGGCAGTGAATAGGATTTGATAGTATTTGTGGTAGGATTGGATAGGTTATGTGGTAGTATGTGGAAGGTGATAATGATGTATGAGGTTCAACTATCTATCTATCTATCTATCTATCTATCTATCTATCTATCTATCTATCTATCTCTGAGTGCAGGGGTCGGTTGAGTGCTGAGAGAGACAAAGGCGTATCCGAAGGAGGGTTTCAAAATTCAATAAGGATTTGTTGGGGCGGAGGGAGGGAGGGAGGGAGGGAAGAGGGGGCGGGAGAGGGAGGGAGGAAGAAGGTAGGGAGGATAGAGAGGGAGGGAGGGGTGGAAGGGATCAGGTAAATTAAAACAAAAAATGAACAACAAACAACAAAATTCCAAAACCAAGAGAAAATCAAAACAAAACACCACGATAAACAACCAATTTCCCCATATAAACAAAAATAAATAAAAACTTTAGACACTCATTTGACTCGAAACGTTTCCCGCGAATTTTCTCAATCCCACCCAGCTGACGCATGGATCAGCCAATGGCGTCGCTTTAATCTCACTAATCAACACGCCCCCTCGACTATAAACCTGAAGTAATATCATCTTCTATTACACAACCTGTATATAGTTATTATAGGCAGAAAATAGGCTGAAAAAGGTCAAGGGGTCATCGTGCCTCCGTAGTGTTAATAACAAGGGTCAGTGGTCAGGTCAAGTCAGGTCACGTAAGGTCACCGACTTCTTTAAGGTCATTGGGGTTCCGACAGGTGCTGTATTTTCACATTGGATAAGCTCGTGTGGATAATGGCTGGATAAGGGCATAGAAGAGTGTGGATAAGGACATGGCTAAGTGCGTGGATAAGGACATACATTAGGGCGTGGATAATTACATGGATAAGGGCGTGGGCGTAACAAGTATAGGCGTGAGTGTAAAAGAATAAGGACACGTGGGCGTAGGGGGACAAGTGGGCGTAGGAGGCTATGGGCGTGGGTGGTGGAGAGGAACCAACCACTACCTAATTTGCATAATGAGTAAAGGGAGAATGAGTTGAGGCGGAAAAATGGATCTTGACTCACTGGAAACCAATTATGATGCATCTCTCCCGCCATCACGTCTATAAGGAGTGACTCGCGAATCCAATCATGGTTAGGTTTGATTAGGTTAGGGATATAATAAATGAATTAAATAATAAACTAATTCAAGGAGTGACTCGCGAATCCAATCATGGTTCCTTACCCCGAGTAACCAACCAATCAGAATCATAAAGAGTTGTCTAGATAAGACTTACCTTGATTTTGGGACTGCTTGCGTATCGAACAGGCGATCCACGAAACAGGGGACAGTGCTATATCCATTCAACTATTATATTTATTAAACTTCAATAGTTATTTACGTTTCTTTAGTCAGGAAAACACACAAACTTTCATTAATCTCTTTGTAAACTCTCCATAGCGTCTAATTTCACAAAGATCTTCATTTATGATGACAATTTCACCCTTAAACCTAAATACCATAAGGGTTATTTAGGTGTTCCGTGATAGAAGGGTATACAGTATGTGTTTACGTCTGAAATCCTCAAATGTCTGGAGGTATGAGTCAAAGTCGAAAAAAAATCCACAATTACGTCAATAACACTGTAACTTTCACTACACTGATGATACCACAATTACCACGGGTATTTTAGGGACTGTTCTATATGATATGACGACCTACACTGCCCTATATACACTGTTAATTAATAAATAAACACAGCACACTTCAAGTAGCTATCACCCACACAGGTGTTAGGTCTCTCCTGCTGGCCAAACTCAACCATATGAAACTGGGGCTTTATGGTGATAGGTTATAATATATAGGCACATTAGCACTGGGAAACAAATATTATAATCTATTTACGTTAGTTTGAAACCTATTAAACACTGGATCTCTTTTGACTGGAGTTGGTAGACTTTTAACTATATTCTAATTCCCCAACTGGTAACAATGAGCAAGCAGGATCTCTGGAAATAAAAGACAAAATAAAAGCGTCCGTGATGTATTTCGAGGTTTAAGTGATAATACATGGAATTTATTTATGATGAAGAGGGAGAGAAAGGACAATAATGTAGAAGGAGAATAAATCGTAGAACAAAAAACTAGTGGAAAGGAGAAAGAAAAGATTATAAATAGATGGAGAAAGAGAAAGGAGAACAGAGTAGTAAGAGACGGGAGAGGAAGATTGGCCCATCAAAACGTCAATAGAAAACGGACCTAAAGCCTTCAATCTTCCTCTTATCCGAGCATGACCGAACCGTCGACCAAGAATTCCCGGTTGCTAGGCTGCCAGTGGATACCTTTACATATAATTAATTTTAGCCTTAAGAAGAAGAATTATAGATATGTTAGCCTATAATTAAAGAGGAGAATGAATCTATCTTCTACTTGTGGGAATTGAATGTTATTGTCCCATTATATGTCAATGTATCGGGGACACGGCATACACGGGACTTAAACACAATGGTGATTATTTTTATCAGCTCTATGTAGTGTTATTCTGATTGGATGGGAGACTTGTTTCGTAGCATCGTTGTGTTTGTATGTTTTATATGATGACAGAGGAGAAGACATTTTAATTAAATTTGTTAATATTGAAAAACAGATAAACATTAGTAACAAAAAGTTTAAGACGCTGTTTAATATATATATATTCATGAATAATAGTTAACTCATCTCCAGCTGTAAACTACCATATCATCATAGCAGTAGACGTCATCAGGTGAATATAGTAGTGAGGCTTGCAGGTAAACAAAGTGTGTATAAGATATCCCATTGGTCCATCAGGTAGTAGCGGGCGTGGCCAGCGGTAGGTAACTTCCCACAATGCCGAGTCATACTAACTGTGGTACACTGAGTGATACTAACTGTGGTACACTGAGTCATACTAACTGTGGTACACTGAGTCATAATAACTGTGGTACACTGAGTCATACTAACTGTGGTACTCTGAGTCATACTAACTGTGGTACACTGAGTCATACTAACTGTGGTACTCTGAGTCATACTAACTGTGGTACACTGAATCATAATAACTGTGGTACACTGAGTCATACTAACTGTGGTACACTGAATCATAATAACTGTGGTACACTGAGTCATACTAACTGTGGTACACTGAATCATAATAACTGTGGTATTGAGTTAAACAACATTGTGAAAAAGAGAATTTTTATTATTTACAAATATTGTTAAGTTTTCTTGGAAAACATAAGTGGTGTAAGTTATAGTCTGTTCCACGCAGCTCTTCTCTCACAACAATGTACACAGATGCACACTGATGTACAGATACACACAAATTTACACAGGTACACACACACATGCACACAGAAACACGCTGATGCATACAGACACACAGACATGTACATGTTTGTGTACACGTGGAACAGATGTAGGCCACTGTGATACAAATGGTAGACGTACTTACACACATGTAGGTATTCATGAACATACAAGTGTGCACATGAATAAACAGGCAAGGTGTACATGTACGACAATCAAAGGTGTACAATGTATAGATAAACAAGATGCACATTATTAGTAGCCACAAGTGCTCATATGTGCACATAAGCAGGGTGTACGGATACGGTAACCACTAGTTTACAGATGTGCACAACGGTTTAAGTGGGGTGCACATGTACACATAACCACCCAAGTAAGATGCACATGTACGGTCATCAAAGGTATACACACATGTACATAAACAGGATGAAACACGTATGATAAGCCACTGGTGTACACAAACGTACACGGGAAGAACGTACTGTACATACATGACAAGATATACACACGTACGCATCAAAAGGTCTCCCATCCGGTCGGTTACACTATCATTCTGTTAATAACGTCAGAACTACTTCAATAACAAGAACCAGAGTCATCTACAGAACACCTTGCCTATACTATAAGACCTTGGTAAGCTAATCTCGCTACTCAAACATGTCCGTAGGGTTCGAATCCCCGATCTATGGGGGTGTGAGGGTGGGTGAATGGGGGTGTGGAGGCTGGGGGGGGGTTGATGGGGTGTGGAGGCTGGGAGGGGAGGTGAGGGGGGAGGAGGTTGATGGGGTGGGAGGGGTTGGCAAAGAATGAGGTGGGTGGATAGGTGTGGAAATTGAAGGTAGGTGGATGGGGGATGAAGGTTAAGAGGGGTTGAGAAGGGAGTGGAGGTTCAGGGAGTGGAGGTTCAGGGAGTGGAGGTTCAGGGAGTGGAGGTTCAGGGAGTGGAGGTTCAAGGAGTAGGAGGATGAGGTGGTGGATATGGATAAACTATATTAGTATGTACTGAAATCTTAATCAACCTGTAATCACGACAACTTACACTGACCTACCTGAAGTGTTAACAATACATAATATACAGGTATATACATGGGATTAAAATGGTCATACAAAGGCCACAGAGACAGCGAGACACATTTGTATAATTATTTACATTATAAAATCGTGTTATGTATGTATCTATCTCTGTATAAATATGTCCCAGATACTGTAATTTCTCTTGTAATTCTCAAAGTCATTATCGGACATTGAGTTAATCTTTTATTTACATTGTTAAGTCGTCATAGTCAACCACAACACACTAGGTAAGGTACGGTAAATGCCTCTTGTTATTACCTAAGACAACTAACATGGTTTGTTTACACGGTTTCTGTTTATACGGTTTGTTTACGTGGTTTGTTTATTTGGTTTCTGTTTACATGGTTTCTGTTACATGGTTTGTTATCACGGTTTGTTTACATGGCTTCTGTTTACATGGTTTGTTATCACGGTTTGTTTACATGGTTTCTGTTTACATGGTATTGTTCTCATGGTTTGTTTACATGTCTTTGTTTTCAGTCTCTCACAAGGATAACCAGTTCCAAGGCTTCCTAGCTGGGTGTAGGAGCTGCCGCCTACACACCAACTACACCCGGACAATCTGTGTAACTCAGTTCAGGTAATCACTGCACTTTTGCCTTTACCACTAAAATTAACATGTGATGGTGTTCCTCGCTGGCTGAATACACACAATACACTATATGAGTTCCTTAGTGTACTGACGTGATCATTGTCCTGGTGTAGGTAATGGAGGAGACTGGTTAGGTGTTTTTTCGCGCTTCAGGAATATAAGACTCGACCAGAAATGATTGTTTACTTTATGTACGTTAGTTGTGGGTGTAGTATACGCCACTCTGTGTAGTTGAAGGTATACTACACTTCACTCCAGGTAGTCGAGGGTGTAGCCGAGGTTTTTACGCTGAAGGAAGAGGTGTATCTCCCAGAAGGGGGGACGGTGGCGGTAGTCCGGCCTCCAGCAGGCGGTCATCATCTCGTACACGTCAGGGGGACAGAGAGGCGGCTGAGGCAACACCATCATCCCTGCACCGTCACCATGGTAACAGTGAGACACGTTCTCCAACACGCCCTCGTCACTCAACTCGTCGTAGGGAGGCCGACGTGCCATCATCAGGATCTCCCACAAAGTAACACCAAACGCCCACACGTCACTCTTGGTGGAGAACTTTCCCTGAAGGACAGACTCCCACGCCATCCATCTGATGGGCAAGAGAGCTCGACTGTCACTCAGGCGGTAGTAGTCACTCGAGTATAGAGGTCGACTCATGCCAAAGTCTGATATCTTGACGGTGAGGCCGCTGCCAACAAGACAGTTGCGGGTTGCCAAGTCTCGGTGAACAACGTTTAGTGTTTCGAGGTACTTCATCCCCGAGACGATTTGTGTGACCATGTGTAAGAGGGCGCCGTAGCTGATGAAGGAGGGCTCCCTTATACTACCAGACGCTCCCTTGAACACCGCGCTGGGTATACCTTCCGTCACGTGTCTGCGGAGGAACTGGTAGAGGTCACCATCGTCCATGTACTCAAGCAACATACACAGCGGCTCAGATGTGTTCACCACACCCAACAGTCTCACGATGTTTGGGTTGTCAACACGGCTAAGCGTACGGCACTCCTTCCTGAAGTCTTCCTTGGTGTCCTCACTTGCACCGATTTTTAGACTCTTCAAGGCCACCCTCCGACACCCAACACTCGTCGCGTCCCTCACCTCACACAGCTGCACCACACCAAACACTCCTTCACCCAGGTTCTCCACCACCCGCAGGTGACTTCTCGGCACCTCAGGTACCCGACGCTCCTTCCCTAGACTGGTCTCATCAGCAACAGCATATATCACAGTACCCGTCACACCTTGTATATTAGAAGGCTGGCACAAGAGAGGTGCCGTGTAGTACTCCTGGTCGGGCGGCGGAGGGAGAGACGGAACAGCGGGCATCAGAGGAACATCCCGTAGATTACACACAGTCGGTAACGTCGCTGGTGGCTGAGTCAGAGGCACAGGAGGAGGAGGAGAATACACCTCAGAAAACGGCGGAGGAGGTGTCATATTGAGGTCAGGTATAGCATAATCAACAGAGTCGTCGGTGTCGGTGGGGATGGCACACTTGAGAGGCACTTCCGAAGGGGTGACGGTGTGACCCAACGTGTAGTACCCGGGGTTATGTATTGGCCCTTTAAATGGCTCCTGATACATCGCCGTCGTCTCCTCATCCATTGCCACATGACCATACAACTTCCCCTTTGCCTTAGCATAACCATTAGACACAGGCGAGAGATTCACATTAATATGCAAATCTTTCATCTTCATCGACACTTTTCTCGTATCCATCCCATTATCTGGAGACGGTGGCGACTTCTTATTTGACTTCCTAGCGAGCCACCTGTGATAGTACTTCACCCCAAAGGCCACAGGAAGCATACCAAAGATCAAGGCGAGGCATATCACACCACCGAGCAGCAAGGCAGACGTTTCCTCAGCTGGGACCACAGGGGCGCGGTCCTCGACAAATCTCTCCTCATTCATACTCTCGGTTGACACAGGCGCCGCCATCTCCTCCTCCGTCAGGTTACAGTGACATGGAACTGTACTCGAGAACCATAAAAAAAACAGTGTATTAGAACCCCTAAATAATGTCATGTATTAGAAAAACAATAATACTATTCAAGAACCACAAAAACAATGACTAAATATCCATAAACATTAATATAAAACTATAAAAACAAAAACAAAACCCCGCAAAAACAAAATCCCACAAAAACAATGTAAAAACAGCCCAAAAACAACAAATAAAAACCCACATACACATGCCAATAATACTTCCTATGTTATTTTCTCTCACCTGAATCAAACGTCACTTCAGATATCATGATCCACTTGAGGGCAAAGAAGAGCTGGAGCTTCAGAAACCGAGCGGCAGCCATAGGGAATTTGATGGTGACGTTGCGGGCGTTTTCGAAGATGCGGTCCACTTGGAATTCATACTCGACGGAGGACTGGGCGTGGTAGTGTTCCCCTCCGATGCTGAATGACACCCTGGCGCTTGAGAACACCTGAAGAGAGAGAGAGAGAGAGAGAGAGAGAGAGAGAGAGAGAGAGAGAGAGAAGGGTTAATTAGCATTGGTTATTTCAGTGAATTGAAGTTTATGTTGTCTTTCCAAACTTTAAGACGTATTTCAGAATATAACCAAAATTTTAAGATAAATTCCCTAAATGCATCAGACTGTTCTTTAAGTGACAAAAACTATAAGAATTCTCCCTTAAACAAAACACATATATAAAAAGTATCCTTACGATTTTTGTGTGAAACAATATGACACAAAGGACGAAGGATTTTGACAACCCTACCGAGACAACAGAAGACTTAGTGTTCATTTTGAAATTCATCGTTCACCCTCCGTTCAGATACTTTTTTGGAGTGATACACAACAGACAGGAAACACCTACCTGGGCGTCCCTGGTGAAGAGGTTATTGGTGTAGATGTGTACGGCAGTGAAGTTCCTGATGGAGTCGAATTCAAAGGTAATCTCGACAGGTTGTCCTTGACGAGAGTTGTTCTTCCAACCTACCCACTCGTAACCTGAAGGAGGAGGAGGGTGGGGGACCGTGAGTAGTAGTGGTAATAGTGATGATAATGCTACAGTTGCTACTACTACTACTACTACTTTTTTAATGTAAGTCTCTCTGTCTGTCTCAATATAAATCTGTCTACCTGCCTGTCTGTCTTTCTCTCTCTCTCTCTCTTTATGTATGTATGTATGTATGTATGTATGTATGTATGTGTGTGTGTGTGTGTGTGTGTGTGTGTGTGTCCCTCCCAAATAACCTAACCTAACCTTACAGCTTCAGATCACGCAATAGGAGCAGGTATAAGAGGTCCTCAGCACTCCACCCGACTCCTCTATTTCATTACCTTGACTCAGGTCTTACGCCAACCTTTAATTTCGCCAAATTACTCTCAATTGGCGAAGAGTGAAGAGGAGAAGGAGGGGTGAGGTAAGGAGGGTGTGAGGGAGGTAAGGAGGGTGGTGAGGGAGGTAAGGAGGGTGGGGAGGGAGGTGGAGGGTGGGGGTGGAGGGGGGTGGGGAGGAGGGGAGGTAAGGAGGGTGGTGAGGAGGTGGGAGGGAGGAGGAGGGAGGTGGGGAGGGAGGTAAGGAGATGAGGAGAGAGAGAGAGAGAGAGAGAGAGAGAGAGAATACAGACACAACAACACAAATTAACACCTAGGTAACCAACACCTTACCTCGCCCCATGCCAAGAGCGTCCACTCTAAAGTTAGTGTGACCCATCTCCCCATCGGTGAGTTGACCTAGGCCCCCTGAGAGCCAACCATCAGCCCGTGTGCCATCGTAGGTCAGGTCAGTTAGAGCCTGGTCACCTCCTCTGGGGTCACCATCTGGCATGCTATATGACACAAGACCATCTGGAATGTATAGAAAAAAAAAAGAAACATATTTTATGATTCCTCTTTTGGTTCAGGTTCATGGATTATAATATTGTTTTTTCAGTGTTAAAAGGAAATGGTTAGGTTAGGGTTAGATTAGGTTAGATTAAGTTAGGTTGGGTTAGGTTAGATTAGATTAGGGTTACAGTGTTTACTCTTATGACAAAAATAAGTTAGGCTACTGTAGGTTAGAGGTTAGCTTAGGTTAGATTAAATTAGGTTGGGTTAGCTTAGGTTAGATTAGCGTTACAGTACTTAATCTTATGACAAAAATAAGCAAGGGGGTAAGGTTAAGTTAAGTTAGAGTTACAGTACTTAACATTATGACAAAAATAAGTTAGGGGGTAAGGTTAAGTTAAGTTAGAGTTACAGTACTTATCATTATGACAAAAATAAGCAAGGGGGAGGGAGGAAGGGGTGTAATCTTCAAGCTTTCCAGACCCAAAACAACACAAACACCATTACCAACCTGAGTACTGACAGCCATACACCTCAACCCTCATACACACAGTCCTCGGGTGGTCGCTGTAGGGGACGAACCTCACCCTCGAGGCTATGATGGGCGGACTTAACTGTGACGTCTGCGCCAGGTAGGTGTTGCTGTTGCCTTCCAGTAACTGTGGGGGGAGTGTGGGAGAGAGGTGAGTGTGTGAGGGGGGTAGGTAGGGTGGTGAGTATGTAGGGGGATGAGTGTGTGGGAGAATGGTGAGTGTGTGAGGGAGAATGGTGAGTGTGTGAGGGAGAATGGTCAGTGTGTGGGGGAATGGTGAGTGTGTGTGTGTGGGAGAGGTTTGTGTGTGGGAGAGAGGTGAGTGTGTGAGGGAGAATGGTGAGTGTGTGGGAGGGAGGTGAATGTTTGATATGTGAGTGCGTGTGGGAGGTGAGTGTGTGATATGTGAGTGTGTGGGAGGTGAGTGCGTGTGGGAGGTGAGTGCGTGTGGGAGGTGAGTGTGTGTGATATACCCTGATTAATCTTACACCAATAACTCAAATATAAGCATTCTTTAATTCACTCAAGTGCTGACTGGTCCAATGGCCCTGTATGGTCCAGTGGCCCAGGAGAGGTCATCTGTGTCCCATAACTCACCTCCTGGCCCCGACCATCACTATAAGTAACCCAGTGGTCCAGGCCTGGTCGCCAAAGCTGGAGTTTGTAATGCCTGGCGAACTCCCTCCCCTGGCCATTGCCGAATCTGCCCTGGACCTCTACCTTGGTGAGGACGTGCAGCGCCCCGAGGTTGACCTCCAGGAACTCTGTGCCTCCTCGGTACACCATCTCCCGAGGGCACCAGGCTCCTCCTCCAGCCTCTACCCGCGCCCTGAACACATAGGGAGGAGGGAAGGAACAGTCATTATGCAGTTAATACAGGAATACAAAAGTCACTGTAGTTACAAAAAAGTAGAAAGTCTGACCAGAAATACAGAACGAGAGACAATAAATACCTAAAGTACGCCAGGCAGACAACTGTAAAACTCTCGTACGCCAGGCAGACAACTGTAACACTCTCGTACGCCAGGCAGACAACTGTAACACTCTCGTACGCCAGGCAGACAACTGTAAAACTCTCGTACGCCAGGCAGACAAACTGTAACACTCTGCATGCCAGGCAGACTTTGCATGCCAGGCAGACAAACTCTCGTACGCCAGGCAGACAACTGTAACACTGTAACACTTCCTACGCCAGGCAGACAACTGTAACACTCTCGTACGCCAGGCAGACAACTGTAACCTCTCTGTACGCCAGGCAGACAACTGTAACACTCTCGTACGCCAGGCAGACAACTGTAACACTCTCGTACGCCAGGCAGGCAGTAACACTTCGTACAGGCAGACAACTGTAACACTCTCGTACGCCAGGCAGACAACTGTAACACTTCGCACTCCAGGCAGACAACTGTAACACTTCGTACGCCAGGCAGACAACTGTAACACTCTCGTACGCCAGGCAGACAACTGTACACTCTTTGCACTCAGGCAGACAACTGTACGCCAGGCAACACTCTCGTACCCAGGCAGACAACTGTAACACTCTCGTACGCCAGGCAGACAACCTGTAACACTCTCGTACGCCAGGCAGACAACTGTAACACCGTCTCTCGCACGCCAGGCAGACAACTGTAACACTTCTGTACGCCAGGCAGACAACGCCAGGTGTAACACTCTCGTACGCCAGGCAGACAACTGTAAACTCGTACGCCAGGCAGACAACTGTAACACTTCGTACGCCAGGCAGACAACTGTAACACTTGCATCGTGGGCCACGCCAGGCAGACAAATGTAACACTGTAATACTTTCGTGACAGGCAGACAACTGGCAGCTACAGACTGTATGCCAGGCAGACAACTGTAACACTTCTTGCATGCCAGGCAATTGTAATAGACAACTGTAACACTGCATTTCGACAATTGTAACACTTCCCCGTACGCCAGGCAGACAACTGTAACACTCTCGTACGCCAGGCAGACAACTGTAACACTCTCGTCGCAGTACTGTCCACACTTTCGTACTCCAGGCAGTAAACATCTGCAATACCGTCTTGCATGCCAGGCAGACAACTGTAACACCTGTAACACATCGTACTCCAGGCAGACAACTGTAACACTGTGCCTTCCAGGCAGACTGTAACACTCTCGTACGCCAGGCTCGTACGCCAGGCAGACAACTGTAACTCCCTTCGTACGCCAGGCAGACAACTGTAACATTCTTCGTACGCCAGGCAGACAACTGTAAAAACTCGTACGCCACGGGACTTCGACAGGCAGACAACTGTAACACTCTCGTACGCCAGGCAGACAACTGTAACACTTCGTACGCCAGGCAGACAACTGTAACACTCACGCCAGGCAGACAACTGTAAACCCTCTCGTACGCCAGGCAGACAACTGTAAACTCGTACGCCAGGCAGACAACTGTAACACTTCGTACGCTGGCCAGGCAGACAACTGCAAAACTCTCGTACGCCAGGCAGACAACCGTAACCTTCTCGTACGCCAGGCAGACAACTGTAAACTCTCGTACGCCAGGCAGACAACTATAAAACTCTCGTACGCCAGGCAGACAACTGTAACCCTCTCTGCACGCCAGGCAGACAACTGTAACACTCTCGTACTCCAGGCAGACAACTGTAACACTCTCGTACGCCAGGCAGACAACTGTAAAACTCTCGTACGCCAGGCAGACAAATGGGTGATTAATTAGGTGCCAGGAGAGTCGACCACCTTTAAGTTATTGTACAGCGGAGAGCACTGACTGACCCATCTCTCTATAAAGGAGTCAGAACAAAGAGTAATTACAGAAGACAGGAGAGTTCAGTCATTAAGCAAGAGCGTCATTAATTCCCCTCAACCTGCCATTAATAACCCAATTTATTAATAATTCCCCTCACTTACCACAAGTTAATAAGTAACCTTCACCTGCCTTAGAGGATAGTATCCCCTCACCTGCTGTAGATGGCGTTGAGTAGGAACAAATCCCCTCACCTGCTGTACAGTCACTCACAACCCCCCCCCTCACCCCCACCCCGCCCCGAGAGAGGTTTTGGAATTCGTGGTCTCTTCTGGTAACAGTGTACCTGGCGTAGGAGGAGTGAGGGGTGGGTTGGGGGGTGAGGGGTGGTGTTGGGGGTGGTGAGGGGTGGTGTTGGAGGGTGAGGGGTGGTGTTGGAGGGTGAGGGGTGGTGTTGGAGGGTGAGGGGTGGTGTTGAGGGTGAGGGTGGTGTTGGAGGGGTGAGGGGTGGTGTTGAGGCAGGGGTGTGTGGAGGGTGAGGGGTGTGTTGGAGGGTGAGGGGTGGTGTTGGGGGTGAGGGGTGGTGTTGGGGGTGGTGGAGGATGGTGTTGGGGGTGAGGGGTGGAAAGGAGGGTGAGGGTGAAGAGGGGGTGAGGGGTGGTGTTAGAGGGGTGAGGGGTGTGTTGGAGGGTGAGGGGTGGTGTTGGAGGGGTGAGGGGTGAGGGTGTGTGGAGGGGTGAGGGGTGGTGTTGGGGGTGAGGGTGGAGTTGGAGAGTGAGGGGTGGTGTTGAAGGGGTGAGGGATGGTGTTGAAGGGGTGAGGGGTGGTATTGGAGGGGTGAGGGGTGGTGTTGGTCCACTTCCATGTACACTAACCATTGTCTTGAGTCATTATCTAGTTACATACTTAACTAATACGAGGTAACTATAACAGCATAATTATATCACCTTTATGTATTATACTCTAACATCCTTATATAATCACTAAAATGACCTTTGAACCTTTGACCTTCTTCATCGCATTATACCTGTATCTAAACTAAGCTTATTGTGTGATAAAGGAGAGTTCATTCCTAACCTACTCGACCATATAGTCTGGCTGAGTGTGTCGGGAAGGAGGTCTGAAATATCCCAGGAGGAAGCATTGTCTCAAACGTCGTGAGGTAAAGAGAGTCTCTATGGTATTTATATAAACTCAAACACATTATAAATCTGTTGGTCAAATATATGTAGGAGAGTAGTAGTTTTTCTCACTCTGTCTATCTGTCTCTCTATGATGTACTGGGTTATTATAATGATCTAAGACGAGACAGACAGACAGACAGAAAAATGGTGTTGTATTCTGTTAATCAAATATCATTTAACTCATCCCCCACAAACTGATGAATTAATATTTGGCATTTAGTATAATTGTTACGTGGGACAATGAAAACCACCCAGGTTAAAATATATGCAGATAGTGTTGTAAAATTGCATGGTCATATAGTGATGATGTTAGGATATTAGAAACAAAATGTGTAAAGGTAACGTATTTATGCTGTTGTATTCACCTCGTTTAGGTGTACATGAAACGAGACATCAGCTTCCCCCTCACCCTCCCCCCTACCCCACCTCCCTTTAAGTCAGGTTACATTATTACCAGATCCGAACTGCCCAGGGAGGGTGGGGGCTCTTTTATGAGTGACTATAGTTCCCTTTTCCTTCCATAGATGGCGGTGACATCAATATAGTCCCTTTACCTTCCATAAATGGCGGTGACATTAAAATAGTTCCCTTTACCTTCCATAGATGGCGGTGACATCAAAATAGTCCCCTTACCTTCCATAAATGGCGGTGACATCAAAATAGTTTTCTTTACCTTCCATAGATGGCGGTGACATCAAAATAGTCCCCTTACCTTCCATAAATGGCGGTGACATCAAAATAGTTCCCCTTACCTTCCATAGATGGCGGTGACATCAAAATAGTTCCCCTTACCTTCCATAGATGGCGTTAACAGCGGCATCGAAGTAAGAGGAGGAGGAGATGTGGTCGTCGGGGATGGCTCCAGACTGCATCCCAAGCGCCGCCTCACACTGACCTGACGGAGACGCAGACGAAGGTAAAGGGGGTTATTTAATGACTGTTTAAATGGATCCTAGTCAAAATAGATGTAGGTTTAGGGCTTATAGTAATAATGGGGGCCTAGGAATGGTGTCTCTCTCTCTCCCCTCCTTTGCATCCTCTGTTTCATTGTTCTTCTCTACCCCTCTATCTCCCTCTCCTCCCTTTCTTTACTCTCTCTCACTTTCCGTCACTCTACATCTCGCCTCAGCCAACTAATAGGATCAGTAAATGACAACGACAGGCGCTCTGGGGCGACAAAAAACTCCACCTCACACAGTGGCCGCCGCTACCACCACTACCACCACCATCACTACCACCGCTGCCACCACTACCACCATCCCTAACTAAGCTGAAGATAAAACACACACACACACACTCTAACTACCTAATTACCCATTATCTCAACTACTTAAAGCACCATTAGATGAGGTTTCAGTTTTAATATACAGCCAATCGGGTTATCAGTTGCTGAGATAATGATCAGGGACCTTATTGGATATCTTTTGACCAATCAGAAGCCAGGAAAATCATCGAACCGTGACAGCATTTTAATCTGGTCACGTGGGAGGGGGGGGAGGTGGGAGGAAGGGGGGGTAGGGAGGAAGAGGGAGGGTGGGTAGGGAGGAATGGGGGAGGGGGGGAGGAGGAAGGGGAGGGTGGGGGGTAAGAGGGAAGAGGGGAGGGGTGGGGTAGGAGGAAGGGGGGAGGGGGGGTAGGGAGGAAGAGGGAGGGTGGGGTAGGGAGGAAGGTGGGAAGGTGGGGGGTAGGAGGAAGGGGGGTAGAGGAAGAGGGAGGGTGGGGTAGGAGGAAGGGGGAGGTTGGGGGTAGGAGGAAGGGGGGAGGGGGGAGGGAGGAAGAGGGAGGGGTGGGGGGGTAGGGGAGGAAGGGGGAGGGTGGGGAGTGGGAAGGAAGGGGAGGGGGGTAGGGAGGGAGAAGGGAGGGTGGGAGATGGGAGGAAGGGGGGAGGGTGGGGGAGTGGGAGGGAAGGGGGGAGGGTGGGAGGAAGGGGGGGGGAAGGGGGTGGGAGGAAGGGGGGAGGGGGTGGGAGGAAGGAGGGGGGTGGGAGGGAGGGAGGGGGAAGAAGAGGAGGTGGGGGTAGGAGGAAGGACGGAGGGGGGGTAGGAGGAAGGGGAGGGGTGGGAGGGAAGGAGGGAGGGGGACGGGGGTGGGAGGAAGGGGGGGAGGTGGGGGGTAGGAGGGAAGGGGAGGGATAGGAGGAGGGGGAGGGGGTAGGAGGAAGGGGGAGGGGAAGGGAGACGGAATGGGAGAAAGAAGGAGGAGGGGGAAGGGAAGGAGGAGATATAGGTAGAGAAGGAGAAAGAGTAGGAAGGGGAAGGAGGAAAAAGGGAAGGAGAGGAGGAAGGGAAGAGAGATGATCGAAAATAACGAATGAATGAGCGAATGGGAGAACGAATGATAACTAACAAGGCGAAAGGAAGAGAAAAACAAACGAATAACGGAAAAAAAAGAAGGATTGGATAACTTGACGAAAAACAAATAAATATCGGAATGAACGGACGAATAGACGAACGGACAAATGGACCAGTAAACACAACCCCACCGCTGCTGTTTATAATGCCAGTGACCTAAATAAACAAGGAAGATAGGGTTTTAATCACATGTTGGAAACTGGTTGTGTATCTAACCAACATACAACCAACGAAGATTAGGTTAAGAATACGTCACATTAAGTTATATTGGTTAAATTTAGTCAAGTTAGAATAGATTTACTTCCGGGTTCATATTTAGTGATAAGGAAACCCCATTTTTGAACACACACACACACACACACACGTACACACACACACACACACACACACACACACACACACACACCTTTCTAACTTGCCGTATCACTTCCATCTCTCTCCTTAGTTCACTCTCGCTGGTGGAAGTTTAATTACCTCAAGGACTTGTTTACTGTGTGTTTGGGGTAATTAATTGGTTAACACACCCAGGCGCCGTTTTCTTTCACGCTTGTCTTACGATTAACGACTTTTGGCGAGGGGGGACTCCACTAATTTGTCCGGTTCGAGTAGTGATCGTGTTTTTATTGGGGGTTTTTTGTATTGCAGTTTGTAGTTTATTTTGCGTGTAAATATATGAGGTGATTATTAAATAGTTGTATGTCAGTTTAATAATAATAATAATAATAATAGTTTCGAACAGCAATTTATGTGCGAGGGACTTCAGGTGGCAGAAGAAGGCGGAGATGAAGTAGACCAGTAACTTAACTTCAAACTGATAGATAAAAGCGAGAAAATATAAGGCAATATGTTTGTAGTATGCTGGGTAGTTTATACTAGTAGAAAATGGTATGCTAGCAGAGAATTGTGGTATTATGCTAGTAGAATATGTGTGGTAGTATGCTAGTAGTTGGATAAAATATGCATGCAAAGAAAGTGAGGTAGCATGCCAGCAGAAATTATATCGTATAGTATGCTAGTAGACAATGTGTGCTTGCATGCTAATAGTTCTGGTAATATGCTATGGGTCTGTTAGTATGCTAGTAGGATGCCTATTGGTATGCTAGAAGTATGCCCTCCAGTATGCGATAGTACACTAATATTTATTGTCCGATGATAATAATAGTAACTTCAAAGAGAGAGAGAGACGGCCAGGTAACGTGAGCTCCTCTGGCCACGGCCCAGGTAAGAGAGGGGCGGCGGCTCTCCCTTGTGTCACCTGCTGTTAGAAGTGACACACCATCCCAGCAGGTGTTCCTTGCCCCCTGCTGGTGTGTGTGTGTGTGTCAGATGTTGTTAGCGTTTGTTAGAAGTTCCTTGTTTGTTTGTAGTTAGTGTCAAACATTGTTAGCATTTGTTAGGAGTTCATTGACTACTTTGTTTGTGTTTTGGTATCACTTTTAGCACCAATTTGTCTGTTTTGTTTACATCTCCTTCCTCTGGTCTACTTAGCTCGTGCTCTCATCCCCGCCGCTAGGATCCCCGTGTCGCTAGTGAATCTCTACAGTGTTTATAATGGATCGTAACTCTCATCCCCGCCGCTAGGATCCCCGTGTCGTAACTCATCCCGCCACTAGGATCCCCGTGTCGCTGTGATCGTTCTCATCCTGACCCTTGAATCTACAGTGTTTATAATGGATCGTAACTCTCATCCCCGCCGCTAGGATCCCCGTGTCGCTACAGGACGCCACGATTATCACAACTCCTTAATGAAAAACATAAGGAGTTGAGCATCACCCTGACACACACACAGGGAAATACTATCACCAAGGAATTATCTCACAGAGGACAGCTTACACGATAAACAAGACGAACAGAGAAATGATTGTGATAAGAAAGAATATGTCAAATGCAACAAAGAGAAGATTAATGTCATCAAAACCAAACAAAAAGTCAAATGAAAACCCCGAAGTCAAATGAAAACCCCGAATAAATTTCATCCCATGTATACGACGACCAGATTCCTTAGATGACTATGAATGAACTTCCTGAATCCAATGTATTTTAGGGTATTGGTCATCGTATTTAAAGGGTTTAAGATTGTGTATTCATGGGATTAAATCATCTTAAGAGTTGATATCTTACTGTAGATTACTCGTCGTACTCAAGGGGTTAGTTTATGGATAACATGGACAGAGAGACAGACGGGGTTCTTACCAGTGTGTAGGCATGTGGTAGGGACAAGAGTCAGACAGATTAGCGACAGGAACAGCAGTAGCTCCATGCTGTGTAGCGGTCACTTCCCAACCACACCACCATCTGGAGGAAGGCTTCACCAGGCTTCACCACCCTCCGGAATAAAAGCTTCAACCTCTAGTAACTGTCTCAGGGAAGCCTCAATCAGTACATCAACGAGGAATCCTTCAGTGATCTAAGCTTCACTATTTCAATGCTTCAATTTTATTTTCCTTTAATATATCAGTTTCACTCACTCGTCAATGAAACACAAATGATTCACTGCTTCAATTTTATCTTCCTTTAATATATCAGTTTCACTCACTCATCAATGAAACACAAATGATTCACTGCTTCAATTTTATCTTCCTTTAATATATCAGTTTCACTCACTCATCAATGAAACACAAATGATTCACTGCTTCAATTTTATCTTCCTTTAATATATCAGTTTCACTCACTCGTCAATGAAACACAAATGATTCACTGCTTCACCTGTTCTTCCTCATTGTGTCAGAACTTGATTTCAATTCTCATAGTCATAAACTGAACACCACGCGAGGGTTCACCGTCTCACTGAACTGTTACACTTGATTTTCTCGATACTCCAGAGCATAATTTCAACCGACTGGTCTTTCCTTCTTCCTAGTAACGTCACTTAACCTAACCTAACCAATTCGATGTCTTGGAGGTTTCTAATTCGATGTCTTGAGTTTCTAATTCGTTGTCTTGGAGGTTTCTAATTCGTTGTCTTGGAGGTTTCTAATTCGTTGTCTTGGAGGTTTCTAATTCGATGTCTTGGAGGTTTCTAATTCATTGTATTGGAGGTTTCTAATGCACTTTCGACTCACCACCTGAAGAGAAAAGACAAAATATATCTTAGTAACGTAATTATATAACTTACATTAAAATTACTTTCTACAATAAGATCAAACACCTAAATCACGATGGTCCTCTCTGTCTGTCTGTCTCTCTGTCTGTCTGTCTGTCTCTCTGTCTGTCTGTCTGCTGTCTGTCTTCTCTCTCTCAACCTCGTCCCTTCTCTCAGCTAGATCAAAGTAATCACCAATGACTTATGGAAGCAGTCCTGCCACCAGACAGGCGGCATGGGCGCGGGGCGACAGAAACATGGGCGTGGACAGAAACACGAGGCGTGGACAGAAACATGGGGCGTGGAGGTGATTGACGTGGCGTGTAGGCGTGTAGGAAGAGACGCTGGGAGGGTGATACATCTCCTGGTGTTAATGGCGCACGCCCATGATGCCGTGTTCTTTGTATAAGGCGTGTGAGTTTGCTGGCCGATACCACTAAAACAAGTTATTGGACGTCACATGCGCGCCCTTATACCTGACTTTACCGGTACGTGGAGGGCGTGGAGGGCGTGTAAGCGTGGTAAGACATTCCAGACAAGAGGGAGTCAAGATGTCACGTCTCATAAGATGATTAAACATTTCACCCTTACATATATTGTTGTCTTATGACGTCACAGCCACGACTACGAGCCTAATATAAATTTTGTTATTTCTTTTATTATTCTTTTGTTTTACTGATTTAGGAGAGAGAGAGAGATAACCCATATAAGACCCTCAAACAACCCTGGGAAAGATTATAGGTAGTCTTCAGGGCATCGTAAGATTAGCGAATCGATCTGAACTAACCAATAGGAAGCGAGGTAATCCAAATATGGTAATGGTCGTCCCTAGGTCCTCAATCCTCAAAGGTTCCCGAACTATTTACACTTTAGCTGCGTCGGCAAGCTCTATAATCGCTCTTCCTGGGTTAGGGACCAATCGGTCTTTGAAGTCCATTATAATAAAGCCCATTTAACCAGACATGGAGAGAGAGAGAGAGAGACGGAGAAGTGATGATGAGTCGCTAGTGGACAGATCTGTCAATTACACTCACGACACAGCCAGAAGGACGGGCCCTGGAGGACGGGAGTTCTGACATGCCTCTATCTCCCGTCACAGATCCGTCACAGATTTTAGGAAGAGGTCTACACTAGTTTTTTTTTCCCTGTCTACACCTGTCAAGTCTGTTTATCTTAATTAATCTATTCCTTCACTCTGTCATTTTTTTGTGAGTTTCCCGTCAGACGAGAGATAGTTCTGTCCGTTGGTTTTTGGTTGGGGGGTGAAGGTGATTAATATTTCCGTCCAATAGTTGAGGAGTACGTATGAGGAGAGAGAGAGAGAGGAGAGAGAGCCGATTCACATCCCAACACACCTCTCCTTCTTTCTTTCTTTCTCTTCTCTCTCCTCCTCTTCTTCTTCTCTTCTCTTCCTCCTCACGCCTCTAAGCCCTCCCTTCAAATCCCACCCAACGAAATTAATTATGCAGTATGTCGAGCTATCTACACAAGTACACGGGTTCGACTCCACTCCAAGAACATTTATCTAGACTGGTAGGGGTCTGTTGGTCTATCAATTTATGTGGTCCCCCAAGCTGACGGAACCATTACGATCAAAGAGGCCCCATTAGGGTCCATTGTTTGAAGTGTATTAGAGAACTGCGACCCAATCGTACTGTTTAATTCTGACCGGGGTCTATTAGAAGTGGGGCCCCATATGGCTAGTTTTGATAGGGGCCCAGTTGGCTAGATTTGTCAGGGGTCTATTAGCTCAAGAGGTCCTATGGAAGCAGGCACCTAAACAGCTCCCTCGTGACTCCTAAAGTGACATAATCATCTCATATCTTTATAATCTTGACGGAACGCTTCATACAAACTTGCATCCGTCCGTGACACAAGCTGGTTTTTGTTCGTGACTCTCTCTCTCTCTCTTCTTTTGTAACTGGTCATTTGTTTAACTCTTCTTAGTCACAACAAACCGCATAATTCAAGCCCAGTTCTAATAGGCCCCAATCTTAATGGGTTGGTTAGTTTGGGGCCCAGTGAGACTTGGGGTCTATTTGATCTGATCCTATAACCCAGAGGTAATCGATAAAGATGTTCTTATACTCGCTACTGCTGGCAAATACATGTGACTACTTAATAGGTTAGGTTAGGTTAGGTTAGTTTAGGGTTGAGGTTAGGTTAAGTTAGCTTAGATTAGGTCAAGATTGAGTGAAATTAGTATAGGTTACGTTACCAAAATAATAATAATAATAATAATATAATAATAATAATAATAAAATAATAATAATAATAATAATAATAATAATAATAATAATTCAATAATAATAACTTAGGTTGTAAATCAAGAACGTCCATTTTTTCAATAATTTTCAATATTATTAAAAAACTATCAGTGAAATCTACCTCCACCACACACACACACGCGCACACACACACACACACACACACACACGGGAGGGGGGAAATAGTACACATGACAAAATATACACACATACATACATGGATATATAAACATATGTACGTGTCTGTCTGTCTGTCTGTCTGTCTGTATCCCCAAAAGGTCAATAACTGGCTCCAATCACCAAGTCTTTCGCATCACCTGAAGATTGGACACCTTAACGCTAACCTAACCTAACGCTAATCTAAACTAACCTAACCTACAGCTTCTACTAATGGGTTCTGGTACTAATGGGTCCTGGTACTAATGGGTCCTGGTACAGGTCCTGTACAGGGTCCTGGTACTAATGTTCTGGTACTAATGGGTCCTGATAATGGGTCACTAATGGGTCCTGGTACTAATGGGTCCGGTACTAATGGGTCCTGGTACTAGGTTCTGGTACTAATGGGTTCTGGACCAATGGGTTCTGGTACTAATGGGTTCTGGTACTAATGGGTCCTGGTACTAATGGGTCCTGGTACTAATGGGTCCTGGTACTAGGGTCCTGGTACTAATGGGTTCTGGTACTAATGGGTTCTGGTACTAATGGTCCTGGTACTAATGGGTTCTGGTACTAAGGTCCTGGTACTAATGGGTTCTGGTACTAAGGGTCCTGGTACTAATGGGTTCTGGTACTAAGGTCCTGGTACTAAGGGTTCTGGTACTAAGGGTCCTGGTTAATGGGTCCTGGTACTAATGGGTCCTGGTACTAATGGGTTCTGGTACTAATGGGTCCTGGTACTAGGGTCCTGGTACAATGGGTCCTGGTACAGGGTCCTGGTACTAGGGTCCTGGTACTAATGGGTCCTGGTACTTAATGGGTCCTGGTACTAATGGGTCCTAGTACTAATGGGTTCTGGTACTAATAGCTCGGTACTAACTGGTACTAATGGGTCCAGTACTAGTTCTGGAATGGCCCTGGTACTAATGGGTCCTGGTAAATGGGTCCTGGTACGAATGGTCCTAGTACTAATGGGTCTGGTATAATGGCCTATGGGTCCTGGTACTAATGGGTCCTGGAGGGTCCTGGTACTAATGGGTTCTGGTACTAATGGGTCCTGGTACTAATGGGTCCTGGTACTAAGGGTCCTGGTACTAATGGGTCTAGTACTAAGGGTTCTGGTACTAATGGCCCTGGTACTAATGGCTCCTGGTACTAAGGGTCCTGGTACTAATGGGTCCTAGTACTAATGGGTTCTGGTACTAATGGCCCTGGTACCAATGGGTCCTGGTACTAATGGGTCCTGGTACTAATGGGTTCTGGTACTAATGGGTCCTGGTACTAATGGGTCCTGGTACTAAGGGTCCTGGACTAATGGGTTCTGGTACTAAGGCTCCTGATACTAATGGGTTCTGGTACTAATGGGTCCTGATACTAATGGGTCATGGTACTAATGGGTCCTGGTACTAAGGGTCCTGGTACTAATGGGTCCTGGTACTAATGGGCCCGGTACTAATGGACAAAGATAGATTCACAATTAATAAATAAACTGTAAATCACTTTTAATAGACGTTGAAAATAATTAACAAATAAAATCCAATAAAAAAAACATGCTCAAATAACTTACCATAACAATTACGACGTTCGGTAAATATCACCTAATTCCCCTAAAATTCTTGAATAAAATCACTAATAGATTATCTAAAATACATTTATTTCTGTTTTATCAACGGTCTGTTACTTTCACAACAGATAAATCACAAGAGAATGATAGCAGTTAATGAATGCGTTAGTTCTGTTGCAAGCGAGGACCTGGGTGTGGGTCCAGGAGCGTGGAATGGTACACTTCACTCTCTCACTCTCGGGAAGACACTGAGTAACCGAGACCCCCGAGACCCGAGTCACTATGTTGATACTGTACCTCCTTCCTCCCTCCCTTCCTCCCTCTCTCCTTCCTCCCCTACCCTCCCCATTCCTCTCTCTCCCTCCCTGTTGAGATACCGGTTAGATATATTGTAACACACACACACACACACACACACACACACACACACACACAACACACACACACACACACACACACACACACACACACACACAAAAGTTCACTCGTAACTATCCTAAAACTTATTTCAGTTCGACAAAAGTTCTAAAAAAGTTCCTCAACACATGTCAGGATTAAACTTTACGGGGAAGTTCAGTGACGTTCAGAAGTTCAATAATACATAGTTACAGTTAGAGGTCACAGTTAGAGGTCAGAGAGGCATATAGGTTACAGAGGTCACAGAGGTCATAGAATTCAAAGCAGAGGTCATAGAGGTTACAGAGGTCAGAGTTAGAGGACATAGAAGCTATTGTTAGAGGTTATTAAGGCCAGAATTAGAGGTCATAGTTAGAGGTCACAGTTAGAGGTCACGGAACGACAGTATTACGTTAGTGAGTTGTGAGGAAGAGTGTGCATTAGACAGGTGTGTGGAAGAGGTGTTAGTTAGACAGGTGTGAGGAAGAGTGTGTTACGTTAGACAGGTGTGAGGAAGAGTGTTACGTTAGGTTGGTGGTGTGAAGAAGAGTGTGTTACATTAGACAGGTGTGTGGAAGAGTGTGTTACGTCAGACAGGTGTGAGGAAGAGTGTGTTACGTTAGACAGGTGTGAGGAAGAGTGTGTTACGTTAGACAGGTGTAAATAAGAGTGTGTTATGTTAGACAGGTGTGAGGAAGAGTGCGTTACGTCAGACAGGTGTGAGGAAGAGTGTGTTACGTTAGACAGGTGTGAGGAAGAGTGTGTTACGTCAGACAGGTGTGAGGAAGAGTGTGTTACGTTAGACAGGTGTGAGGAAGAGTGTGTTACGTCAGACAGGTGTGAAGAAGAGTGTGTTACGTTAGACAGGTGTGAAGAAGAGTGTGTTACGTTAGACAGGTGTGAAGAAGAGTGTGTTACGTTAGACAGGTGTGAGGAAGAGTGTGTTACGTGATGATGAAGAACAGGTATGAGGGCCCGAACTCTTTGGCACGTGTGGTAGGCGAGGGTCCCCTGTATCGACCCAGCTGGAGAAGAGGGGGCGGTGAAGTTCCAGTTTCCAGTGAGGGAACGCTGGAATGTCCGGGTAATAACCATCTCTACCTGTCCAATGTCCACCCTCCCTCTCACCCCCCTCCTCCCTCTCTTACCCCTCACTCCCTCTCCCCCCCACCCCCCCCCACCTCCTCACAAAAAATACCCAGAAGGTGTGTTAAAAGGATTGTGGATTTCAGCCGGAAGGTTCTTGTGTTCCAACAGGAGGTTCTTGTGTTCCAACAGGAGGTTCTTGTGTTCCAACAGGAGGTTCTTGTGTTCCAGCAGGAGGTTCTTGTGTTCCAGCAGGAGGTTCTTGTGTTCCAACAGGAGGTTCTTGTGTTCCAACAGAAGGTATTCCAGGTGGTCGTCAAGATGGGGAAATCTGGAAACACTGGATCACCCAACCAGCGATATGGCGTTTTTAGTGCACACACATACACACACACACACACACACACACACACACACACACACATAAATGACTAAAAAACACCAAGACCTCAGTTGGAACAAGAAAGGGATTCGCTTTACGCTGAAAATACCACACAATAGACAAGGAAGAGGCTGTAAGCTGCACCGCGAATCTGGCAAGGCTTATCTGAGGCCTCGAGAGTAATCTGGAATGCCGACAGCAATTACTGGAGAAGGAATCTAAGATACGCTGCTGGAGGAACGTGGGATGGTCCCTGGAACGTGTGAGAGAGAGGCCACCGTGCAGTGAGCTTGGGGCGTTCACGGGAGTTTGTGTTGGTAGAGCAGCGTGGAATTTGCTATACTTTAGGGACTAATTGTTCATCAACTTGGCCCTAGTGGTAATAGGACCTAACCTTAAATATACAGCCGACAGACTAACCTAACCTAACCAAACCTAACCTAACCTAACCTTAAATATACAGCCGACAGACTAACCTAACCTAACCAAACCTAACCTAACCTTAAATATACAGCCGACAGACTAACCTAACCTAACCAAACCAAACCTAACCTAACCTAAAAGCATTCCAAATCGGAGGCAAAAAAAAAATCACACACAAATATCTTTTAATAGAAACGAAATACAAGAGTTTTAATCGGGACTGTCTGAATCCTTAATACGATAACGAACCGAATACAACGTTCATAATCTTTTCCCAGTCGTATTATGGTGTTAAGTCAGTCGTATTGATTAGCCAAGGTAGTGATATACTTCCAGGTATACCTTTGTGGTTCTGTCTCGTGTGGGACGGTGTTAAATTGACGGTATTTTTGAGGAAGAAGAAAAAGTGAAATAATTTTTTTTTTCTTAAAGTAATTTTGTTATATCTCAGTTTATGGTTATACGGTATATTTCTGTCTGTCTGTCTGCATTTATCTCTGTCTAGTTGTCTGTTATGCCTTTTTGTCTTTGTCTGTCTTCTCCCTTTCTGTCTCTCTGTCCCTCTCTGTCTGTCTGTCTGTATGTCAATCTAACTTGTCATCGACAGATTTCAGCGTCTCAGCATTATTGTTGACTACAGCCAGATTTCTAATCCGCTGTAATCCGATGTAATCTGAGTCGTGTACACGGATAACAGTAATCCCCCGATAAATCCAGTGACCTGCCCCTTGGTAGTGTTGACACGAGGATTATAGAAGTGTAACTAGCGTGACCTTTGACCTGACCTGACCTGACCTGGGATTAACGAGATGGGGAGAAAAAAGGGGGCGTTTGACCTCAGGGTTTATGTGCACCTGTGTGTGTGTGTGTGTGTGTGTGTGTGTGTGTGTGTGTGTATACTGAAGTACCCGGGGAATGAATTTCTATAGGCCGAATATAATTAGCCTATATGTTGTTGGTATCAATTATATGTTTCCGAAATTAATTTACGATCCTGTGAATGTTAATTTTAAGGTTTAATTGTGTTGTTTATTATATTGGGGCGTTGTTGTTGTTGATATTATTATTGTTATTATTATTATTATTATTATTATTATTATTATTATTATTATTATTATTATTATTATCATTATTGTTGTTTGTGTTATTATTAATTATTATCGACTTGTGTTACCTATCTGACGAGTGAATTGACACACACACACACACACATTCATTCACACTGATATGGGCCCCCTTCCTTAACAGACCTTACTCTATCTTTCACACCGATAAGGTTCCCAGTGACACAAACTAAGGCAAACACATCAGAGATAAGAGACACCTGAGCCCTACACAGTGAGGAGAGGGAGATCACCTGAAGAATCTCCCCCATTCCCCCTCTCATGGCGCTACCTGGGGCCCCATTAGAGCTATGACGTATCAGAACTGGGGGCCATTGTAGAACTGAGCCTCATACAACATCATGATCGCTTACACCGACAAAATATTTATTTACTCTCGTGTGACACCTGACTCATAACATTACCTGAATTCAATAAACAAACATAGGTGAAATATTACTGAGTGACTGATCATTACCTGGGCGTGGATGACAGTACCTAGTGAGGAGTGACGGATGGGAGTGACTGAGTACGTGACCGAGAGTGACGTGGATGAGTGACTGAGTTCTTGCATGGGAGTGAATGAGTTCCCGGGTTAGAATGACAGGTTATATGTACACTGCACAATACTCATTCTACCCTTAATATCACCATCGACACTCCATACCTTCCATCGACACTCCATTCCTTCCATCTACACTCCATACCTTCCATCTACACTCCATACCTTCCATCTACACTCCATACCTTCTATCTACACTCCATTCCTTCCATCTACACTCCATACCTTCCATCTACACTCCATTCCTTCCATCTACACTCCATTCCTTCCATCTACACTCCATACCTTCCATCTACACTCCATACCTTCCATCTACACTCCATTCCTTCCATCTACACTCCATTCCTTCCATCTACACTCCATACCTTCCCAAGTATCGACAAAACCATCCTATCCAATGCCTTCCACTTCTCTGTTTGTTTACGTTTGTGATCAGCTGATTCACCACGTGGCCGTTTGTTTACACTCCCCCTTGACATAACAGGAGTGGACTTACACCCTTCACACCCTGGCTTACTTCTTGGATGCTGTTAAGTGTTACACCTCTTGACACCCAGTTACATCCTCAGAACACCCACTACACCCTCCTCAACACCCACTACACCCTCCTCAACACCCACTACACCCTCCTCAACACCCACTACACCCTCCTCAACACCCACTACACCCTCCTCAACACCCACTACACCCTCCCGACACCCAATTTCCTGCCTTGGTAAATAATCAGCTGATCTCTACCATTTCTCCCGTGAGGTCAATGTTTACAAGTCAGCTGTGGTTGTCCCTACGCGCCACCACGCCCACACGTCGCCTCTTCACGCCCACATGTCGCCCTCGTCACGCCCAAACGTCGCCTCTTCACGCCCGCAACTTCGCCTCTTCACGCCCACAACGTCGCTCTTTACGCCCACATAAATCTCAGAGTGGGCGTGAAGTTTTAGATATGACACCTTTAAAACACAGTAGACGGGGACCTGAAATGTCTGTCTGAGTTTTGGGGTAAAATCGGGAAATTCGTCATCGGATGCTTGGGTTTGGGGGTAAAATCGGGAAATCGGTTTGGAGTAGGTTAGGTTAGGAGTAGGTTAGGTTAGGTCTTTTTACCCTATTTTCTTCCCTAGTAGAATAAGTTTAGGGAAAATAATGTTGGGAAGGATTAATTTAATAGTATTAGCTAAGAAGGGCACAGGTAAGATATTTCTGGCGATGCACACACACACACACACACACATTTCCTATTGGGTTTATCTTCCTATCTTTAGTAAATACTTAAATAAAACAC